GTGTTAGAAAAGTGCGGAATAGCGCTGATTGGTTGCTTCAATGACGCATTCCGTATTCCGCAGCCCTATGACGCACCGTGTGATTTCACCCTTAGTCTGGATCCTCATACGGGCAACAGCGCTTTGACACCGAACGCTGATTGGTGAAAAACGGGTGGTGGGAGTAAATTTTACCCCCACAACCGGCTTTTCACCAATCAGTGTTCTGTGTCAAAGCGCCGGTGTCTGTATGAGGATCCAGCCTTATCGTTCTAGTCACGTACGTGGCTGTGAATTAAGTAACTATAATAATTGATGCTACTACGATAAATACGAAAAAATATACATATGTACTACATACATAAAAAATTGTGATATTGACAATACAAGTGAACTTACTGTCTACTGTCAACATATGTAAAAAGCCACATTTGTACCGTTTCTTTCTTTTAAAATTGTTTTAAATATACTGAAATAATCACTTTCCAATTTGTATTTTTAACCTGGATATTATAGAAATACAATTTATTCTATAGAATGTTTAAGTTCTTGAAATCAATAAAAAATATCGGTTATTGTTTCAATGATCGTGTATTAAAGGGTTTCTAAAGTGCTGAATGAATAATTTCAGCGAAATCGGTTGAGAATTGATCGAGAAATTTCTGATCTATTTCGGAAGCTGATTTCAGCCTAAGTCACTTCAACGTTAAGTAATAAATAAAATTGTTATTTCTGACCGTCTTAATTACGAATTAAAATTTTATATATTTCGTATTTTTTTTTTAAATTTTGTTCGCGCGCGCAATGTATGTATGGGTGTTCCGTTTCTCGCATGATGCGCATAATGCATCGTTTATCCTTGTTGCTCACCAAACGTTAAACAAGGACAATGGATGCATCATGCACATCATGCGCGATACGGAACGCACCTTATGTACGATAATTCTGGGTTACTACTTAGGTACGATAATTTAACGGCTTTGGTACGATCGGTCACTGCTTCTTTACCAACACTGGGCTGCGTTCAGGAATTACACCCAGATAACTCTGAGCTATAGATTACGTTACGTACATTATAGCAAAAATGCACCCTAGAGTTATCTAGGCATAATTCCTGAACGCAGCCCTGTTGTCAACAGAAACAGACGTGTCGCTAAAAGGATAGATAAAAGAGCAAAGGAGTGTCATCGGTTCCAATTTTTATCTATAAAATCGAGTATTCGTATAAAAAGAAAAGGAAAAACTGAAAGAAGAAGGAGAAAAACAAATGGATACGTGATGTTTAGTTTTATCACTTAATTCTTCGTGAAGTTGAAGGAAAAGACCTGCTGTCTTTTACCGGCAGCAGTCTTCGTAAAAGAAGAGGAACAAACGCGAAAAGATGATGAACGAGAAGATGATGGACGCGCGAAGGCGCGAGAGAGAACTGATCGGATTACGCGGAGTTCCTGAGGCTTGGAGCAAATCCCCGACGCAAATCGAATAGTACGTAAACACGATAGACACCTTCGTTAAATAGAACGTATAGAACTTTCACGACGTATTAATGGCTTGATTGTTGCTGTATTCACTCGGGTCGTCGATTCTGACGACAGCATCCGTCAAGAAAGAATTAACTCTGAGAACGATCACTTGTAATTTGTATTCTTTGAGGTTAGGATTGCTTCTGTTACGTTATTATTAACCCTTACCGTATACCAATATGGGTAACTAGTGACCGAGCGTTTCCTGTTCGTGCAAGTTTCTTGGAGTTTTTCGGTAATTATAAATTATACTACATTTTATTATTTTCCAAAATAAACAGTCAATATTTATTCTAGAAAGTTGAAAGTATGTTGGTAAATTTTTAGAGATTTTTTGAATTATTTTGAAGAGATGAAAAAAATGAGGAGATTCTAGTGACCCTTGATGGTATGGATGAGGTACCAAATTGTACATGGTACGGTAAGGGTTAATTCATTACTCGCATGGAATGTCCAAGGTATATCCCAGCCTTATAAATTCGCTAAATGTCTGAATGCTATTTATACGCAATACATTTAGTATAAATTATTTTACAATTTAAAAAAAGACGTATTTATCTTAATCTAAAGGACAGAATATAACAAATGTCCAGGATATCCCATATTTCACAATTTAAAAAAATTGAATTTATCTTCATTTAAAGAATGTAGAGAATATGACAAATCTTTTATATTTATTTTTTGTGAATTGTGAATTATTGTAGGATGTCTAGGATACTCCAACCTTATAGATTCAAATATATGAATGCTATTTGTATTCTTTACTATAATTATTGCAAATTTTTCACAATTTAAAAGAAATTGTATTTATTTTTATTAAAATAATACATAGAATATAATAAATCTTTATTTATTTGTAAATCAAAGAGAACAATATAGGATGAGATATAATATTGGAGTGTCAGAAATATATCACACAAGTAATTAAGTTAAAAATCATATGAGTAATGTAAGATTAATAAATTAACTTACCAATTTGAGTTCTAAGAATTTGAATAAATTATACTAACAGTTCATATTGAACCAATACATCTATGTGGCATAGTATTGAAGTTTCAGTTTGTTGTTGCATTTACAGCAGCTCAGACGAGGAGGACGAAGATTTGAGTAAACATAAGGACAATATTTTACCAAAGGATCGCAAGAGGAAGAGGCATGATACTAAAAAGAAGGTACTAGATTAATTATGGTCAACATTTAATAAAACAATGATATTCAATTAAATACAGTGAATGCTAAAACTTTTCAGCCAACATATAATTTTATGACAATTTTTGACAGTCTTTCTTCCAGTTTATAAGTTAATAAAATTCTTGTTACAAATTAAAAACACTATGACTGCGTTTAGCAGAAAAAGTAGCTTTACAACTATTGCAAAATTCTTCAATACGATTGTTTCTTGTTTTTGGTTTTTTATAGATCTAAATGTATAAACCAATCATATTGAAGAATTTTACAACAGTTGCAAAGCTGCTTCTCTACTGCACACAGTCAATATTTTTAATACTAGAATATATTAAATATTTGTATACTAGATTTTTATTTGTAAAAATTCTTTATCTAAGCAATATAATAAAATTACTCATTTAACCGAAATTTTTAGCAGCGAGTAGCCAGTATGTGGAGAAATATTAATAATAATATTAAATATTTAGAAGAGCAAGAAACTGAAGAAAGAGAAGAAGGCAAGGAAAGAGAAAAAGAGGGAAAAAAAGGCAAAGAGAGAGGCGAGGAGAGAGAAAAGAAAGAAAAAGAAAGCGAAGAAAGAAATAGACAGTAGTAGCTCTGACGATAGTGATAGCAGCAACAGCAACGATGAGGAGATATGGGTAGAAAAAACCACCATTCCTGATAAGCCAAAGCCAAAAAAAGGCTCGAGTTCAGATGACAGTGGAGACGATGGTATGGTTGGACCCGCTCCGAAACCGCACGTGACTCTCTCAGCTAAGGATTTCGGTAAGGCTCTGCTACCAGGCGAAGGTGCGGCAATGGCAGCTTACGTCGCCGAAGGAAAACGCATACCCAGGAGAGGCGAGATCGGGCTAACATCAGAGGAAATTGCGGCATACGAGTCTGTCGGTTACGTCATGAGTGGCAGCAGGTAATGCATATCAAATACGTAGAAAATTTTGATTTCTCTGCTTTATAGAATGACAATAGATTTTCATACTGAAAAATAGTTATTGATTATCCAAATATATAAAATTATGTTCAACTCGCTATTCCAATTGTTACTAATGGAAGTTTATGGTCTTAAATACCAAATAAAATATAAAACAAGATATTTTTATTGCTTGTCAGAGCTACGTTAAATATCCTTTATCTTTATTTAAATAATCTTGATTTTAATATTTTTCTATCTTTTCTGAAGGCATCGTCGCATGGAAGCGGTTCGTATCCGAAAGGAAAATCAGATCTATTCTGCCGACGAGAAGCGTGCTTTGGCAATGTTCAGCAAAGAAGAACGACAGAAGAGGGAAAATCTTATATTGGGACAGTTTAGAGAGATGATTAATCACAAGAAAATGGCACAAGAGAAGAATTGAAGACTACCATGATTTATAAAACATTGACAAACATTCTTGTGTATATATATATATATATATATATATTGTATAATTCTAAGATTTTGTAAATTGTAGGAAGATTATGTATATAAAAATATCAGTCTATGTACATATTTGGATAATTATTTGTTTTCTCAATTTTTCGTGGAAGTTTTGTCAACAGCAATCAAAAAACAATATCCAACAATAATAAGATTTTATTCGGACCGACAAGAATTAAACACAAGTATAAGCATATTCAGGCCTATGACCTGAAGCCTCGGTAGTCTAATGACTTAGGACGCTCGTACGGAATACAAGAGATCCGGATACAAGTCCCGGCCAAGGTAATATTTTTCGCAATAAATTTATTTAAGGTTTTCAGCACATTGTCAATTTAATTTAACTTGTGATATTATTGCAGTAGTTTAATTGCGTTAGATAAAGTCCGGAAAAATTTCGGTGCGCAGTTTGAATAACTACAAAAATATGATATATATGCATGTACATATATAGGATATAGATAATTCACTGGGAATTATTTAGGCAAAAAAGATCTAGCTTTGATTGTCATAGGCCTGAATATGCTTATACTTAGTGTTTAATATCCAACAATATTGCATCAAAATAAAATTTTATCTTTTATTAGTTACAACAATAGAGTATCTCAAAATGCTATATATATGCTAAAAATCAGTGCAATAACGAAAATATTCTAATTCCCCTTTTGTGTTCCACTATCGTTTTTCATTTCGTTTTCCTTTTCTTCTTCTCTTCGTTTCCACTCCTCCCAACCTCCTTCAAAATTAAATACCCTGCAAAACAATATAGAGCTCTATTATAAATTCCTACCAGTGATTCTGAAAGATATTGTCATACTGTTTGTATCCCAATTCCTGCATCTGTTTTTGGACACGTTTGGATCTGTTGCCAGAGCGACAACTAAATATGATTTTTGTGTCTTTAGTCGGCTTGGGTTTACCGTATTTTTCCTCAAAATCCTCCTCCGAAAGTTCTTTGAATTCTTCAACAACATTACTCGCTGTAACAAATATATATTTAATTACTTATTGTTATATATTATTCATACGATAATTATACCACATTATGTATGACATTTGAGAAATTAATAATAAAGTTTCAATATTTAGAAATACAACGAAAGATTCCTACATTTTATATTAATACTTTCGGATATTTTGCCAGTTTCAGCTAACTCTTCAGGCTCTCTAACATCGACGATCAAAACATCAGACTTTTTTTGATCTTCCAATAGTTGATCATATTTGATTATAAAAGTTTGTCTTTCCAGGTTTTGTTTGTCATGCCACTCCCTGAAACCTCCCCTGTATAAATATACCCTGCAAAACAGAATACAAAACTCCATTATAATAAATCCCTACTAATAATTCTAAAAGATATTGTCATACTGTGTGTATCCTTTTTCATTCATCTTTTTTACAGCATTCTCAGCTCTTTTACCAGAGTAGCAACTAAATATCATTTTTGTATGTTGATCCGGTTTAGGTATCCCATATTTTTTTTTGAAATTTTCGTCCTTAAGGTTTACGAGTTCATTAACGACATCATCAACTGAAATAAATGTATAATTACTTACTGTTATATATTATTCTTATGTTATATATTATTCTTCTAATTATACAACATTATTACTGTGTGACGTTTGAGAAATAAACAATAAACTTTCCAAAATTTATACACACAATAAAAAATTTATACCTCTTATATTAATAGTTTTTGGTATTTGTCCGTAACACTCAATTTCTTCAGGTTCTCTAACATCAAAGAGCAGAAAATCTGGCTTCTCCTTCTCTAATTCTCGTAGTAAGTCTAAATAATAAATTATAAATTCTTCTTTTATTGCCATTCCGTTATTGCACAGAGCTTCAATATTCTTTTCCCGATAGGGTATACTCGAAGAATACAAGGTTCTTGTCACTGAAAAGTCATAGGTTACAAACACTGAGATATATTTCAAATATTTAACATAAAAAATTTTCTATTTTATTAATGAATATCAGCAATCACTTTCAACAAAGTAATAAATAAATAAATAAAACAGGAAATAAAAAGGAAAAAGAATTCTGAAAAAGATTCTGCATTAATATTGAAAAAATAATGACTTTGGTCAAATTGGCTAGGATATTTTATAGATTTAGGGATATTCTAATCAAATTAAGATTTATTAAGCAAAACCAATTAAAAAATGACAACAACTATATCTTAATACTTTTATGCATAGATAATGAGATGAATGAATTGATGTAAAGAAAATATACAGTTTCTTTTTTAATTTACACAATTAAAGATTACATTTTTTTAAAAAAACATTTCACCAGGGAATCTACAAAATATCACACTTCCAATTGATTTGACCATTTTTTTCATTAGTGTGGAGTCCTTTATACAAATCAGAATTGTGATTTTTCTAAATTTCTCATTTTTATCACAAAAATAAAAGTTATATACGTACGATTGTCTGTACTTGGACGGTTAAACGTAATTTTCAAAAATTGTCGACAACTTATCGATACGTGTCGATTTCTGTGAGAACAACTCGATAATACGAACGCTTGACACAGCTGCCGAGAAAATCTATACATAATGAGTGTCAACTTCTTGTTGCTAAGAAGCGATTACTATCACGATGATATGCATGACACCGTAAGTGCGTTCAGAGAGACGCTATTAACGCTATTTGTGTTATTCTATCTCCATTGTTTGTTATAAAGCTGGAAACACAATAGACACAGGCAATAGGTGCATCCAGAAGCACGACCGCTCATTGAGCTCTTGTATCTGTTTGGTCTATATTTTTCGATCTAATGGAATATGCCAATCAGATGCAAGAGCTCACCGAGCGCTCAGTGAGCGGTCGTGCTTCTGGATGCACCGATTAGGCACAGGCAACAAGGAATAATGAGCCGTCCAATCAGAGCTCTGGGATATAATATCAAACTTATACCCCAAAGCTCTGATTGGACGGCTCGTTATTCCCTGTTGCCTGT